ATAAATCTGTTTATGAATTCGTAGGCAGAAAAAATGTTAAGCAGGCGACATATTTGAACAATTCATACAGAGTAGAGAATTTTTATTCGCCAATCGAACCTTTGTATGAAGGTTTTGTTTGGAAGAGAGAAAAATCTACCAAAGAGGCACTCTTGGGAAGGTTTAAGAAGTTAAGTCCTTTCTGATAATACTGGCTTTGCAAATATCTGACAAGTCCTCAGCTTATGCTTGAGCTACTCTGGGGTCATACAAGTCGGTCGCTATTCGCTCGAAAAAGTTGTATTACTAAAGAGTGTTTAGGGGCGAAAGAAGTGTTGTTATGCGAGATTTTTTTCTCAATAAAGAAAAACATGTACATATGTATGTTGTGTATATTAGCGTCGAGTCTGTCAGTGAGTTAGTGAAAGAGATGATTGTTTCAGGGAAGGTCGTTAATAGCTTGACGATAGAGAGTTGCCTTTTGACGTGCCTGTTCAGATGATCCCTACGAGCATGAATTGCGGCCGTTCAGGCCTCACTAGATGTCTGTCAAATAATGTTTGGTCTTTGAAAAAAGTGCCGTAATTACCACCACAGCCGGTTTTAAGTACGAAAATAGCTTGGATTTTTCCGGACCATTGATTACTGTTCCGACGAATACGTTATAGTCAATCCAGTGTTCCTCTTGCTTACTTATTTCTGTTTTTTCTTTTTAATTCATTTATTTTTAATGCATTCACCTAAAAGAGAAACAAAAAAGATACCAAATAAATTCCAATTCACTTTAAAACTAATTGCAGCTACATATATTTTATTTCTATTTCGTTCCAGTATTTTTCCAAACTATTATCTTTACATGCAAGCGCTGAAATTCCCCCCAATAGCATGACTTAAAATTACATTTTTATTGATAGTAATACAATAGGCAACCAATATTAAAACTTTAAGTAAATAACAAAATTCCAGTTTACATTTCCAGCGCATGTTAATCTTATCGTTATTTCTACTTTGAAAACTAAATGACTTAATTTACAAATATTGAGTATTAACTAAAAAAACATGTCAGCCGTGCGTCAACTGTAATTTACAGACGAAAAACAATGCTTTCTGTTCTATTATTTTCTCAAACAGAGGCTTTTGTTGCGTTACGACTATTTACTTGAAAATAAATGACGTTAGCTCCTTTTTGTGAGAGTGACTAATGAAATTATGAGGCATAAAAGCTTTGTTTTCAACGTTATTTGTAGGAAATTTTCGAGATTTATTGCTCAACAGATATACGAATGTAGAAAAATGGTAAGTGTGAACTTTTTACGAGAAAATTTAGAATGTTAAGAGGTTAGCGGACTAGATTAAGGAAATATGCATATCTGAAAAAAAAATGTTTTTGTTATTTTATGGCCTTATAATAATTATATTTAACAATTTTTATTGAGCTTGAGTTGCGTAGGCAACTGACTGAGTCAGCAGGAGCACTGAAAGAATTCTGATGAGGAAATGTGGTGATTTCCGAAATAGCTAACACTTCTACCGTTTTTTCATAATGACTGTTGCTTTTCCACAATAGTTTTTCATTAAAAACGGCCTCAAGCTCCATAAAAATCGTTGAATAAAAAAATGTTCAATTTAGTTCTATTAAATTTATAATCACAGTTAAATTATGCTAAACGTAACCTTTCAGGTCGCAAAATCCTTCTTACTCAAAATCATTCTCGAACTTTAACTTTAAAACTGATCGACATTGCTCAGTTGATCATTAATTAAAAAACGCAAAATATTTGACAAAACGCATTGAACTTTAACTGAGAAATTTAATTGGCTCGTTTAGTGCAAAGTCAAAATTTTTTCGTGTTCTTAAGCTTTTTTGCGCATTCTAATAGAAGAACTTATGTAAGAATTCCAGGTGTGTTATTGGGCCTCATGCATAAAAAAGTGAGCTTAAGCTCAGACTTGATTTTTCCATGGATGGAGTGAGCTCAAGCCCAAGAATTTGTACAGGAAATAGAGTCGGAGCTTAAGCTCAGTTTTTATGCATAAGACCCATTATACTAACGTCGATGTGCAATTCGAATGTCAAAGTTTGCGATGAATTATTTATTTCAGCGCTTCTTTCATTTACATATTTTGAAACCTTATTTCGACATTTAAAGCTTTTTTTTACTAATTCCAAAATTATTGTCTCCAAAAATGCATTGCAACAAAATTTTCAATAATGCTGAATTTTCACTAGGCATTAGACAAAGTTGGGCATTAGACAATATTTGTTTCATTATTTGAAAAAAAAGTTATCAAATTCATTTCCACATGGCATTTTTTAAATGCCTAAATTTTTTTGTCAGTTTAATGCCTAGTGGAAATTTGGCATAATCAACGATGAAACAAATAAAAAACTCATACAAATTTGTATTGAAAAGCCATAAAACCTAAATGAAGCAAATAAACATTATTAAAATATTCAGTAGACGGCATGCAAATAAAGAATAGAAAAAATCGATTCAACATAACACAAAGTGCAATCAGACAGAAATTAAGCTTCACCAGAAAAAAATCTAAAACCAAACAAAATCAAAAGGCGTTGAAATTACGCTGCTACGTGCAGATAATTAAGCGCAAATAAATTTTTAAGCACTGAAAACGCCAAAATAAATACCATGACGTACTCAACACATCGCGGCGTGCGAACAGCGCAATTTTAGCACCAAAATTTTCGGGAGATAAAGTAACCGAATGTGTAGTCTCCCACACGAGTATGTGCCGACGATAATCATTTTATTTAAATACATACCTATGTATGCACATATGTATGTACATATATGTATATGTTAAGAGCTTGAGGCCATCACAGTTTTTCGCTTGAAGACTTTTCGAGCTGATACTTAAATCAACAATCGCTGCTATATATGTATGTATAAGAAAAATAAAAAAATACATATGTACAAGCAAAAATGCCTTTATGGTGGCAAAAGGCACTTTAGCACAGCAACAAAGTAGCGAAAACGACTGGCAAAGAGTTGGGGGGGGGGACCAGAATTAGCCCCACCGGCGGCGTTGACAACATATGTACATATGTATGTAGATACCACAAACGAAGAAGAAATATAAAATGTAAAAAACGTAAAAATCTAAACAAAATTACAGTTGTCTAGCAACTTAAAATACGCTGAAATGAATGCTAGTCAACTAGCCAACAAATGTTTAAGTATTTCTGATATGTTTACACAAACGAGTGGGCACAAGTATATGTACATACAAACCTTTGATATGTATAGTAATTTACTTTTTGCTTTAGTTTTTTGCCAAAGCAAAAGCCAGAAATATGCGGAGTAGAGAGGAAAACAACCGCAGAAGCAAAATACTACGTAGAACCTTATGTTGAACCAAATTAAAAAAAGAAAACAGGAAAAACAGCAGACTAAAGCCACAACTAAACAGCTGGCCTGCTGCTGCTCGCACAGCAACAACACAGACAACTAACGAATTAATGTGACTTGGCAATGTGTGAATTTTGTACCCAGTACGGCATAGCTCAACCAATTACCTCAGGAAAATTAATTTCATTCTACTTACTTCAATACTTATTAGTGGAAAAATCATCTAACTTTGGGCAATTAACTATTTTAGCAATTAATACTAAGAGATGCCTGCTGATAATTGTTATCTTCCAGAAGGCCCGGATTCGAATCCCAACAGAGACAACATGTGAAAATGATAATAAATGTCTTGGAAATATGAAAAAGCATCTGTGAAGTGCAGAACGAAAGCGTAAACCAAATGCGTTTTAAAGCAGTTGATATCAAATGCAGAGTCGGATAATTGACTGATGCCATATTAAAGTCAACAGTTCGTTCCAAGGCAGGAAGTCAGGTTTTCAACTAGTTGTGGTCGGTAAAAAACTGGTTGAACATCGATATTTAAAGTACATAGTTTCTTTCCGTACTGGGTATGTACTACGAGTACACGAATACAGATACAATGCACTCGTTGTTGTATGTTGCCTACTCGACCATGCAGCGCTGTTAGCGTCATCAACTAGTGCTTGTTTTAACATAAGTCTTTGCTTCTACTCACTAAATACAAAGTACATATACATATTTCTTTCGTAGATATCGTTTTTTAACAACACACATTTTCGCATTTATTTTAAAAAACTCTTGAGCAAAGTCAACGGCAGCCAGAGCAGCGCTGCAGGCGTCGAAGCCAGCGTCTTACTGCTGCGTTTCAAAAAGGTTAAAAACTTGTTTCGAGCCGATGGGATGACGTGTGACTGTGACGACGACGGCCCGACGTTGAACGTCAACTTCGTCCGCCGCACGTTTAGGTTAAGTGACTGCCTGACTAACTAAAAAAATGCCTGCTTGACTGGCTGGTTATTTGGTTGGTTGGTTGGTTGGCCGTGTAAATGCCCTGTGTGTTTGCAGTGACTGCCTGTGCTTGCTCGCTTGCTTTGTTTGCCTTATAGACATTCGATTTCGTAGTGGCCTACGTTTTGACTGTGCTACCTTTTCTCTGCTGTTTGTTGTTTTTAATTGGAGTAGAGCTGCATTGAATAATTTTTTTTTCCACCTATTTTAAGCATTTTTTTTGGTTTGTTTTCCCACCGGGTTCACTTCAGCATGCAACACCAGAAATAAGAATTTTCACACGCTTCTTGGGTTTTCACTTGCCGTGTGAATTTTTCTGTTTGTTTTTGGTTTTTTGTATTTATATTTTAAGTGAAATACCTACATACATATATATGTATGTAGATACACACATGAAAAGGTGAGAAACTTTGTGCAAAGCACTTGAAATGTACGGTAGCACCACTCGTTTTATTGACTCCAATTTAATTTTATTTGAATTAGTTAAAAATTTTATGCACTTAAACTTGTAAGCGCTGTATACATTCCACACTTTCTACCAATTCCCCACACTCTTTCTCACAATTTCACACGCTCTTTCCACACATTTTAAATGCTCACGAACTGAATGCTACATTAATTTTAACATATTATTATATTTTTTTTACGTTTGTACTTCACCTTTTTCACTTTGGCAACTATGCTCCGAGTCCGCTGCTTAGCAAACGATTTCAATCTAAAATACGCTGGCTGTCTCGTCGTACGAAGGCTCTGCTGCTGCTGCTGCACACACACACACGTACACAGCTTATGTATAAGTATATTTCTGATTTAATTTTATGTATAATATTGGTATAAGTTTTCCACTTTTTCGCAATTAACTTTAGCTTGTTGCTGCCTTTTTGCTTGCAATTTGCCTTAAAACTTTTCCAATCACTTTATTTCTTACGTTTTTCATTCAAAATTTTATGTATGTATACTTTGTCGTGAATTAAAATTTTCTCAACATCAACTAGGGCACCACCAAAAAAAATCCCATACACACACACACACTGCTGCTCCAATGCATATATCTGATGTATTTATGTAGATACTTTATGGTAATATGCCTATATAGAAGCATATACACGCACAGTGTTAGCTGTATATCTATTCGTTTTACACAGGCAACGCGATTTCTTTTACTTTAGCAATTTTTTCTTCAGACAGAAAAAAATCACAATCACTGTAATTTGTAAACTTTAGTAATACTACTTTACTGTTTTATCCGTTGCTGACATCCGTTTCAAACGAGTTATGAGGCTAGACTGAGTGCAGCCCGAGCGAGCTGAGTGCTACTTGTACCAGTTTGGCACGTAGTTGGTGAGAGAATACGTTTGGGAAAGGCATCAGGGAACGAGAGTATCCATCGCATTTTCAGCAGTTCCATACATGGCACACATAGCGAGTGGGCCATAAAGCGCAGCTGTCGAGAGCGAGCGCATAAGGTCGGTGTTATGCAGAAATTTTGTTTGGCAAACTGCGTGCAATTGTTGTTGCAGCAAACTCGGAGAGAGCGAGTTTGGCGACTCTCACAGCAAACTAATTTTGTTTGGTCAAACTGCAGCAAATTCGGTGTTGTCATATACAAAAATTTTAAATTTTGCGCGTTATGTACATCTGAAATTCTCATTTCGTGTTGGCAATAGCCATGAAAACCATAATGAACGTGCAACCCTGTGCCAAACTCGACATAACCACCTCCGAGCAAACTAAGCAGCCGCCATTTAATTTGGCAAACAAAAGTTTGTCTGCATAACACCGACCTATGAGGAGCTGATGGTGCGCCATGAGTAGCTGTTGATTGGGTCTCGAGAAGCCTCCAACAAATTTTTGCTTTAGCTCAATAAAATTTAATTTCGTGCTAGTAAGCGCTCTCTCATATGTATTTTACAGTTTAGAGAGCTGCTAAATTTATGAGGAGTGCTTAGTTACTCAGCAGAGTACTCAGAAGGGCAAAAAAAAAGTATATATTTTATGCGCGCGTTTGCGCAACACTTGTGTACTAATATACCGTATATTGTGCTAAATTTGTTCACCTTTCAACAAATCCAAAGGAAATTTACATACCTGTCACTGGTTAGCACTAATGAAGAGCTGCTAAATTTCATACCAACGAGAAGAAATGTGAACACAATAAGGCTATCTACCATGAGAACATCGTATTATCAATTGCCCCTAATATGTGCTATTCACTATCACATGCTATCGACTTTCGATATTTTTAGCCCACCCCATAAAATCGACACTTCTAGTTAATAATTCAACATTTTCGTGGGTTGAATTCATTAGCACTTTAATTTATATTTAAAACAAAATCGAAGCTTTTCATTTATGTATAACTGGTTTCAGTCATCAAATTTCATAAACAATCGCAAATGTATTGCATATATCGTTGGCGTTGCTGCAAAACGGTCTATGTCTATTAGCACTCTTGGTACTCAGATGCTGTCTTACCTACACCGGAATTCATCTGCAAATCGTTAGACTCTCATAAACTAATGACAAAACTGTCTTCCTTTGGCTGACGCAGATGAACGATTAACAGAAGCGACTAGATACAGGTGACAGATCATTTAAGCGCCTGAGGTAATAATTGACATAAAACGTTTTGCAGTATCGCCGACGATATGAATATATGTACATATCTATGTATGAGCGTAAGCACTCGTATATCCATATTCTACAGTTATAAGCTTGTGCACACGCTCCAATGGCGTGATGTCTAAATAAGGCTTTCACAAATATATTTATATATGCTAGCTTACCAAAATTTCAACGACGATAACTCGAAATTTAATAGAAAGAGAGAGTGAGCGCGCCACATGCATACTTGTTAAATTCAGAAGTTTAACTCCAAAAGTATGAGTTCACCTCTATTTCGGAAGACGTAGAAAAAAAACGAAGTGAGCAAAAATTTTGTGATTGAAATTCGAGTTTTTTACGCTTTATAACTCGTTAACCTAAAAATTTTAAGCGAGCTCTAAAGGTACTCAGCGAGAGAGAAGGCACAAAGTATAAATTTTTCAGCTAGTTGCGAAGCGTGCCAATATTTCAGTGGCATAACTCGAAAACTACATGAGATCATCGCTATATTTAAACTTGATATCACGTAAATTTTTATTGGATGAACAAGTGAAGGGGGTCATGTGTCTATTACATAATATGGATATATGTATGTATGTATATGGAGCTATGAGAGCTCTTATTTTTTAACCAAGTCCATTTAACACTTAAAATATAAATACTTACAGTTTCTCTCTTATAAGTTTTATTTTTTTAAGCAAAATACATATAAAAAAAATCAACAACTAAAAGAGATACAAAAAATATTTTGCGTTTTAAAACTATAAAATTAAAAAAAAGTAATTAAAAAAAAAATATATAATATATAAATAAAATAAGTTCCTAAAGATTACATACATAAAAAAAATAAAAAAAAAATATTTATTTTTAATACCAATGCTAAAAATAAAAAGAATATCAAATTAAAGAAAATAGAAAAAGTTTTTTGCTAAAAATTCAATGAAATTAAAAAGTTGTTTCTCATTAAAACAATAACATCTAAAAACAGCAAGAAAAGTCAATTAAAATAAAAGAAAAAAATTGAGTACGTTTCTTAAAATTGATTGAAAAGAATTTTACTTTGTAAACCAATAAAATCTAGACATTAAAAGAAAATTATATTAAGAAAAAAACAAAAATTAAAAAAACTGCTTTCCCAAAAATTTAATGAAATATTTTTTTCTGTTTAAAACAATAAAATCTCAAAAACAAATATTACGTTTCTGAAGAGCATATGAAATTAAAAAACTATAAATACATATATATTTTTCTTTTTAGCCAAGCCAGGAAGAAAACGTACATTTTACGAACATTATGTTTCATGAGGGATTCTCGATCGGCGAAAAGTTAGAGAAAGGCTCGTAAACGATAAAACAAAAACAAAATAAAAGAAAGAGGCGTGTAGTAATTTGTCAGCACAAGAAAAAATTTTTATTCTGTTGGAAATTTTTTTTGAACCACAATATTTTATAATGTATAATATTAGCATACGAATGCTTTTTCGATCCGTTTACGACTGTTCGTAGGCGACCGACAAGTTCAAGCGAAAAAGTACTTGAAAACGAATCGTAATTCTTAAAAGAAAATTTAATTAGAGAAGTAAAGGCAAAAAACAAAACCCACTTCAATTCTCGTATACAAATTTAAGAATACCGTTAATTTCTTCATGATCCAACAATCTAAACGAAATTAGTATAGGATCACCTCTGAGGTACCACCCTTCCTTACAAAAAAAGAATTATGGAAATCGGTTAACGTGGTCCAAAGTTATGCTCTAACATACATAACGAAAAAAAAAAATATTCCGACGAATTGATAACCTCCTACTTTTTTGGAAGTTGGTTAAAAAGAAAAAAAATATATAATACAAAAAAAAGAAAACAAAATCTGCTTCCGAGGACTCGAACCCGTTTCTCCCGAATGGCACACCAGTGCTTTGCATACTCGGTTATTGTGCCTGAGCTGCCTTTTTTCTAACACTTTTCACTTCTGCTAGAATAACAAAAGTCGTTCGAACTTTCTTTCCATCTGTCTTTCAAAAAACTTTTTACAATCTTAGCCAGAATTGCCCAGTAAACATATTTGTTTTGAGGTGATCGACAATTGCTCAACAATGTCCTAGAACACCTATTTTATAGCCTCAGCAAGTTACGTGTTCTTCATCCTTTGCATATGAGCCAAAGAGAGCGCAGTAATAACCAGCAGTACGGATAGGCTCAGTTAAGTTCGCATGTTATGTTGTTAATATCCAACCTTTTTATGATAATGAGAGTATTTAAAGAGTTTCAAAGGGCCTTGAACGGCTAGGGAACTGTAAAATTTTGATTGTATGGAGTGTTCATATATATTTCGGGTTATTCGTTACCGCTTTAAAGGGCCTCAATCGCCTTTAAAACGCTTCAGTTGTCTCTGAGTCTGAAAAGTTTCCAAGAGCAAGAGGTCAGATTTTGAGTCTGTCGCAATTTTACATTAAAACTTGTTACCCCTTGGAACATTCTCAGATTTCTAGTCGATTTTGTTGCAAAAAAATTACCTTCATGATCTTATATTCAAAATCAATTGTAGAACAATTTCGGCGCATCGACAAACTTTATCATAGCAACATCTCCAGAGATAACTCATTGGTAAATACCATTTTACGAATATTCTACAATATAGTAGGTAAAATGTCGAATACAGCAGGGAGTGACAGTAATTGCCTGTCATATCCTAGCTATTAAACTTCACTAGTTATTACAGAGTTGTTTGCTTAAGAGTTTAGATTGCCTAACAACCCGATTGCGTAGTAGATAAATACTCGCAGCTGCCAACTAGACTGCCTACGCCTAAGTTCGCTTTGAACCCATTCAACACCACTCAGTGGGCCTTCTTAAGTAAAATCCAGGTCCTTATTTACTTTCAATTTACGGTGATGTGGTCTAAATAGTCCAGTTTAGAGGTTCGAAAATAATAAGAAAAATTTTATTCATCCAATTTTATAAACTAATGAGCGCCACACAGTGAAAAGTGGAAAAGTACTAAAATATTCTAAAACCAACAAAGGATGGTGGTGGCGAGAGCTAAAGAGAGAGAGAGACCAAATGTATTACTACTTGCCTGGGAGAAAATTCGCAAGATTTTCGCTCGGAGAGTTTGCAAACTAACGGGTAGAGAAAATCGTTTATATTGAGAAAAAATGCCAGACGATGAATGAATCAAGCAAACAGATACATGAATTCTGTAGAGAGAAAAACTGAATTTGCACAGGCAGACTGCGAATGTACTTAATGACTGATTTCAATGAAAAAACGCGCCCGCAGAATTTAAGGTCTTAACGACTTGGGATTTGCAGTAATTAAAACTACAGTGAATAACTTAAGCACTAAGCCAGCCAGCCAGCCATTAACTAGTGATTTTTTAACAATCTAAATGAGACTAGGGGATGGAGAATGTTTAAGTGAAAAGAAATATAACGTAGACATTTTTCCTTGGCGCTGCTCAATTGGAAAATTATATGCAAAAAAGAACTTAATTTGCTGTGTAGTCCATAAAGAATATAATTTGAGCACAGAGAGTTCCAACTGAGTTGACAAGTGAAACAATTGAAACCGCCAGATTTGGTTTGCTTTGATTTGTCTCGATTCCAGTCAAACACTAGGACTCAGATATCAGCTGCCTTGGAAACCTCAACGCGTGGCACATACTATTTGTTTAATTTTATACATAATAAATACTGCCA